GCTCAGTGGTGCCGCTGTGCTCGACGTCACAATTACAGGCTGACCCTTAGCAGGTGGCTCAGGCTGCTGGAAACCCTACTTCCTCCTTCTCGGCACTGAGAAATTTCTAGCAAGATGTCCTACCTGGAGACCAATGACCGGGCTCTTACCCGTTCTCTCGTCGTGGTTTGATGATTTTTGTCATCTCGGCCTCCGAACCGCCTGAATGGAGCAGTTTGGTCTTCACGGGCAGTAGACTTTTAGACGTAACTCGAGATTGTCTGTCTGTAGAGGGAGACAAGAATATGAAGGCCCAGGGAGCTCCCCACAGTTGCAACCTTGGAACCGCAGAACCTCTTCAGCCCTTTAATCTTGCCCCACTGATCAGGGTGACACGTAACCTAAGCGGTTGAAAATGTGTAGGCTGATTCCGTTTTTTTGGCTTGTTTGGGAGGGGTGGGGTGGGCAGTTTCCCTTCCAATTTTGGGCATGCATTACCTCTTTAAACCTTAGTGTTGTGAGTGGATAATATAATGCATGTTTTTTAAAAAGCTAGGAAACAATATAAAGTGAAAAACAATCTCCCTTCGGTGTGAATACTAGCCAACACAGGCCAATTGGCAAAATGTGGATTTATATTCCTGCTGTCTCTTAAGTCATTCTAACACACCAGCCACCGACATATGCCCGGCCTGATCTCACCATTCAAACCAGGCTCTCTACAAGTTAGGATTCTGTCCTTCCGCCCCGCCACATAGGCTCGCACTCGTTTTTTCTACTGGCTTTCACTCACCCTCTACCACCCCTGGTTCATTAGTAATTTAGAATGGGGCAAATTTTACACACACGCACATACAACAACAACAAAACAACTCACTGCTGTTGAGTTGATTGTGACTCATAACCCTGGAGGGCAGGATAGGCCCCTACCCTGCTGCCCCTTTGGGTGTCTTAAGTTTTTATGGGAGTAGAGGCCTCATTTTCCCCCCAGGGAGCGTCTGGTAAGTTCAAACAGCTGACAGTGTGATTAGTAGCTCAGTGTATTGCCCACTCCACCATATGACCCTAATCAGGGGACAAGGTTAAAGGGCAAAGACATGAACACTTTAACTTGTTTGGGGAGAGTTGGTCAGCCCTCACTGCACAAAGGGCACTGTGATCTTAAGACAGACAGTGGAGTTTGGCTCCAGTTCCTCCTGCAGCTCTGAAGCAAGGAAACATGTGATCCTTTGGAGAAAAGCCCATTTGCCCCACAGACCGGCCCTTTTCTGGAGCTCATCAATTCGGGGCAATCAGGCATCTGGGGAGGGATCACTAACAGCGGGGCACAATCTCGAGGGAACCACTGGGTTCCCTAGTGGCTGAAGTTTATTCAGTGCTACCATCTCCAGGTCAGACGGCTGACAATTCCAGATCCTACACAACGGCTGTCCATGGACTACCAGTAAGGCGGTATTTTAAGCAAGCCTCGGCAAGCAGTCTCAAATACTCTGGCTAGTCTGACCCTCTCTATTTCACTTAAACAGGGACTGAGCTGTGGGAAACAGAAGGATTTCTCCCAAGTCACCCACCCCCAAATGTTAAGACTTAGGACACTGCTTGCAGCTAATGGTAAATGATTGTCAAGTATCCTCCCTGAAGGCAGTTAGCTGCCAGACCACAGTCTGGTCCCCCCACAGGTAAGGTAAGGTGACCAGATTTTAACATTGGTAAAGGGGGACACCGTTGATAAAACTCATATCCTGGCGAAATAGCCACATGGCAGCCAAAAACCGTATATCCTAGCTTGTCGTGCATTCTTTCCAAAAATTGGGACTTTTTTTAAACGCTGCGGGACGCAGGAGGAAAAACTGTTAAAAATCAGGGCTGTCCAGCCAAAAGCAGGACATCTGGTCACCTTAAAGTAGGGCCCACTCCCTGCCGTTAAGGACAATGGGCTACTTCTCCCTAAAGGCTTGCGATCCATTAGTCTGGTCCCTGTAGGTGGGATTTACACCCTACCGAAAATGGTTTCTATGGAGATTCAGAGAACAGGTCAAACCTGCACAGTGACATCCAAAGTTAGGCTGCCATCCTGAATCTAGGATCCACCCATCTTGTCACATGTGTGTCCCCAATCCCTCCTCTTCCTAATTCGTATATATCCCTAGATTGCCCCCCTCATTGCTGTATAACCTATAGTGTAACTCCTTCCTGTGACGTATGTCTTTATCTGTAATTAGTGGGCTTGCATGCCTCCCCCCCCAAAGATATATAAGCCTTGGTTAGCAATAACGATTCTCCTTGGCCTCTCTCCACTCCTTTGTCCTCTCTCCCCGGTCCTCACTCCCCTGTTCAATTTCCCCTTGCCTTCCCTTTGCCTCCCCCTGTCTCCTGCCCTCCAGTCTCCCATCTCCATGAGGACCACCAAGCGGGGCTGAGGTGAGCATGCTACTATGAAATGTGTCCGACTCCATTATTTCAATCTCTCTTCTATTTCTCATGCTCTCTAAGATTTTATTATAATCTTTATATATTTTAACCGTACAATTGCACGTATCGAACCCGTGATTAGTTGTGGGGGGGCTGGCCTTTCCCCCACACTAAACCAATACTATATGAGACACACACACAGGTATCAACGTTGGGGGGAAAGAGGCCTGGCCCAAACAACGAATACTTTCCCCTTTAATGGTCTCATTCCCCAAATGGCCCTTACAGCCCTGTCTGTCCCGCAGGATAGCCCTAATCTGGGGGGATGGAGGGGAGGCGTGATCACTTGTTAAAAGGAGATTCTGGGCTGGATGGGAGGGTTATGGAACCAACCCGTAGCTTGAATCTAACGGGGAATGGTGCACAGGTTAGGTTTTACAGGTCAGCGGGGCAGGTCTAAAGTTTCACCAGGAACCTAGCAAGCCTTGTTCCGAGGGCAGGTTGCTAAGGAGAGGAAGGAACGCCCTCCCCCTCCCACGGCCCGTGCCTCCCAGACCCCCGACCCGGCCCCGCTACTCCAGGCTCATCTGCAGCGACTGGACCGGGTCTGGAGCCGGACACCCACCTGCGGGCAAGCTGCCGTTCAGCACCGAGGGGGGCTGCAGCGCGTACACTGTCTTCACCACGCTGGTCATGGTGACGAGGTGGTACGGCGGGGCTCTGGCGGATGCAAGGGGGCGGTTAAGTAACGCTGGGCCGCGGGGCGCGCCGCCCGCGCCACGGCCTCCCGCCCACCTGGCCGCCCCAGCGGGCAGCTGGGGATCCCAGCTGGTGCGGGGTTGGGGGAGGGCGCGGCCTGGCCAGCCGAGCAGCCCTCTCGGGGACGGTCTTTACACTTGCACTTGGCCCCAAAGCCCAGAAGCGATCTGGAATGATCTCCGGTCCAGCCCAAGGCCCTGTCCCCGGAGCACCGCACCCAGGAGCTCGCTGCTCCCACAGGCAGTCCGCCTCGATCTCTTTCAAAAGACGCTCCGAAGCAACGGCCGCGCAGCCGGTCGCGTCCGCCGCCTCCGTTTCAAAGGGGAACTTCCGGTAGCCGTGCGTGCGTGCGTGCGTCCTGCGTCCCGCGGGCTGCCATGTTGTACGGAAGGCACTGTCCTGGGGGAGCGCTTTAGGAGTTGCCATTCCGTACGGTCAATTCAATGGAGGCGGGAGCCTGCGGTTCCCGGCCACTGGTGTTGGAGCCCGCAGGTCTCGGCGGGGTGCGCTCTACAGGTCTGAGTGGAGCTCTAATGGGCGCCCGCGTCCGATGCTGGCCTGGGACCCACCCGAGGTCCGTGCTGTCACAATCCTCCCCTTTATTGGTCAGTGATTGTTAGGCGCGTCGCACCATGCCGGCCGGACTGCCCGGAGCACAGGGCATTGGCACGGACAGCTGCACGTGGCGAGGAGGAGCGTGGCGGATAAAGCTTGAGAATCACTTGCGGCACCGACTAATCGTACCGTTGATAGCATTGATCCACTATGAAGGAGAGATTCACAACAGCCTCGAATAAACAAGGTAGATTTCTCAGAGACCGTGTTTGCCCTGGTCACACACACCTTCACTCAAGGGCGTCCCGGAGAAAAGAGGTCATGGAACCGACAGATTCTACTGAGTTTTTACGGAGGACCTTGAGCATGCCAATGTAAAAGCTAGTCTGTTTCGTATGTTCAGACCCTCTTTTTGATACTAATAAACCAAGCACTGCTCAAGGGGGGAAAAAAAAGGATTTAGGGTTCTTACTGTGAAACCATATGTAGCCTTCTGCAAACCTCAAATTTACTGCCATCAAGCCATCAACTCATATCCAGTTTCCAATGCTGTATATTAATTCACTTGATTCAACAAATATTTACTGAATACCTGCTTGTGGGAAACTAACACAGGGAAATGCGGGGAAGAATACATCCCCTAACTTGTGACAGAGGGAATCTGGAAAGCTGGTATTCCATGGTAGCAAAGCTACCTGTTTGGTAAATTAGAGGTAAAGTCCAAGTACATTATCCTGCTTTAACTATCATTCCCACAGATTCTCCCCTAACAGCTATGATGCCTTAAAGTGAGCACATGATTGCTTTGATCTCCCTACAGAAGCAGACATCCTATTTCTATCTCCTCTAGCTGTGTCACCCAGACCCCTCATACCTTCCCCAAATGCAGATATGAGGTTTCCTCACCTGTGAGCTCAGGGACCTTAAGATTCCACCCACCTTGTGACACATGTAACTACTGATATGCATGTCTTATGGCTACCTATAAATATCCCAAGACAGTAAAAATTCTCTGGCTCCTCTCCCACCTCCACATGGAACGTCAAGAGCAAGAGGGACTAGGTTGATCATGCTATGATAAAATGTGTCTGACTCCTTTATTTTATTCTCTCTCCTCTTTCCTATCCTCTATGACTTTATGATGATCTTTATATTATAATCATACAATTGGGCCTACTGACCCTT